TAAATAAGGGTTAGATAGCGACTGCTTATCCAACCTATAATTAAGCCCAAGTCTAGGCTCATTTACTCAAAATTCAGTTTTAAGAGGCGAAACAAGTCCAATTTTCTCTTGTTAAGGCTTTTAAAACTGGCATCCTATCATGAAACAATCCAAAAACAGATTATAAATTGCAAGTATTAGATTTGGCTACAGCGAGTATCAAATTCTCGGGTGTTTGCTTGACAGGTTTACCATTTATGTAAATTATGGTTGGGATCCAATGAACAATACAAAAAATGAACGAAAAGGTCCAAATATCTTTATAATTTGTTTTCTAACCCATTTCAGCAAATTCAACTATCAAAAAACTGCACAATTTTGCAGACTGAGTTGAGTGCATACATTAAATGATGCGCATCTCCTATCTACGCTTGCTTAGTCTCACCCTCCATCACATTCCTGTCACTTCACTCTATATTTCACTGTAGCTACTGTAATGGGCTCGATATTTCCATCTCCCACCTCTATCCCATACCTGCGGAATAAGTGGACTGGTCAGATAAGGACATAGCGTATTTGATGGCGTTATAAAATGGGCACAGGGGAATGCGATTATATCGGTTCTGCGTTCGCCAATGGCTACTGCTCAGTCACGAGGTTTGTGTGTATTATCCACTTCTCGCTTAAAAGTACACTCGATACAAGCATGTGTTACAACTACCATGCAATATTATAATAATCATTTGTAATCTTAAGTAAATACGACTTAGTTCGAAAATGCAGGAAAACAGTTCATCCCATCTTGTAAAAGTTATCAAGGGGCATTTGCGCTCAAAATGTACCTCTTAATTAGCGCAGTGTGGTTTGCAAATGGAAAGCAAGGAGAGGAAATATACTTAAAGGTCAAATTATGCAACTACCTTTGCAAGTAAACTGCTGATTGAAGCGCATTCTTATTCGACATGAAGCCCCACAGTTTAGCATCAAGTAGTTCCAGCAGTACATACCACTTATTAACAAAATTTCCGTTCATTTTTACCTCTATTATTTAAAAAGTGTTAACGACAAAAACGAATTAATTGCTTTTGCTTTACCTGAGTACTATGTAATATTTTGGTTGCTTAACTATTAGTTTTGGTTACGAAGACACTTGAGGCTCTGACACTACTTCCGCTGGGCTGCGTGGTCTGCGAGTCATGCTGATGGTCCCTCAGCCCTTCTGTTGTGTCTAGCATTATGCGTTTTTCGACCTCGACGAAGACTTGTGGCGCCGCAACTAGAATGATAAACCAAAGTCAACCGTTTTATCCTATAATTCACTCTACACGAATTTCTACAGAAAACTGGGCTGGATTCAATACTGCGTAAAAAAATATCCCACCTAACTCAAAGTTAAATTTAATGACTCTTGAATAGTAATTCAAATTGGAAATACGGCTAAGCCAAAGTGCTTTGGAAGTTTAATTTAAGCATCAAAATGCCTAAGTAAGTTTTCAACATCCTTTCTTAGCATAGCTAAAACTCGCAATTGCGCCAAACCTCCGATTTTTATCATTCGTAAAAAGCCGAAGAAGTCAAATTTTACACGTTAGGTTGGCCTTTTCTTCAGAAGTGCAAGAAATGCGTCTTATTTCTTAAGTTTACTCTTTGTATTAGAGATGCTTCGTTTCTCATATAAATTTCCCTCACAGGGTGGAAAGGAACTGAAAAACCCTGCTTCTTGGACGTAGTTGCGACTCACAATCCAATTTTACTATACCCTTCGTGCCTTAGGGACATAATTGTCGTAGGCGAAATACGCAATTTAATTCTCATAGGTTTAATGATATCAGATGGGTGGTATAAAAAGAATAATTCGAAAGGATTGCACAGTTGGGCAGTACTCTTGCGTAAACAAACTTTATCTCCATGAGAAGTTTTCGTTCCCATTGGCAATGACTTTTGTGCTAATTAAAAGGTTGTACGTTTGATGACCTGAAAGTTACCACATGGTTATATCTTTATCCCTGGAGGCATATCCAACCGTTTAATCTGGGGCCAATTATGATGAACTCTTAAGTCAAACATTAAATTTGCACCATTTAGTGCAACTTACATCAGTGTCCTCAATTCGACCTCAGTATTTTCTTAATTTGGCTGCAAGATACACTTTCAGCTCAGTACATTTACAAAGAGTCGTATTGGACTGTTTGCATTAGATAACAGTTCTTTTTTTACCAGAAGAGAGTGGTTTTAAAGCCATTGTAAAGCACGTTTGTTTAAATATGTTTTTTAGGCGAGAGTTGGTCAGTAAGGAAAATGTTCTGACGGATCAGAAGCCATCGGCCCTCGATGAGAAGACGAACCCTGAATACGCTTGGCCTTGATATCTGTGCCCCTTATTATTTGCTACCCGATAAAGCATGTTCTCGTCCAACTAATCTGCTCGTTTCAAGGGTAGAAAGTCTAAGGTGGAAGAGAGAAACGTCGAGCCCATTATAATATATTACTTTTTTCATAAGTTGTGTCAAGGTTTTTGGAACGCATTGTCTAGTAAATGGATTTAAAGCAAATAGCCAATTCATATTTTGCTAAGTTTTATCAGTTTCAAGATGAGCATCCTCCATGGGGGAAGGCGGCATTCGATTTGTTACGACTTTTATATTTACTGACGGGATCTCGCCTGCAAGGTTGTATTTAATCCAGCATGTATTGCAGCATAAGGTACAAAAAGTTTTAGTTGACCCTCATTTAGGATGCCAAAGGAAAGTGACAGATAAATAATTCTGATGAACAGCATTATTTGGACCCTTAATGTGCCCTTACTCACTACAAAGTTGACATTTAAGCAGTAATTAAATTTAGCAAATTAGTTAATTCCTGATACAATGACATCGTGATAGTGTAGGTAATCCTCATTCATCAACTGCTATCGGAGCTGGATATGGATGGCCATTTTGAAGTGTTTATTCAACACTTATTACGATGTGGCTATTATCGTCCCCCATTTCTGCCCTGATGCCCTCTCGCCTTAGTCAAAACGCACAGGAAAGGTGCAGTTGGTATTTTCATCCATGGTTCAACAAAATCGAAGAAGTTATTTAATCCCAAGCTGTCCCAGTCCCTCTCTGCCATTGCCAGGTGCTTCTACCAATGCTTCAGTAAATAATTTTAAATCATTTCTGGGAATAAATAAGATTAACACTGGATCTACGCATTTCATATGGCTAAAGGTGTGAACATGTGTAGGGTTGCACTGCGTAAACCACAGGTTGTCCAAATACAGCAAAAAAAAATAATTTTTTTAAGAGTAATTCATATTGCGATGCAAAAAACTAAATACAAATTTAAATAACCATCAGATTTCTCCTGATCAAGTAATAGATAAAAACATCTAATTGGATCTGGGAATGAGTGTTCGACCAACTTTAAAGCTGGCTTCACAGAAGGCATAGATATCCCAACTTTTACACCTTACAAAGGCGCATCATGTAAGGAAGAATTTTACTAGCATAATAAACAGTCAAATTTTTGCCCTAAATGAAGTGAAAGACATTTTTTTATTAGGAGCGCCATGAACAAGATCCACGTATTAACAACTGCAACTGGAACATAAATAGATTTGTTTCTATATTTTTCCCATCAACTGCGTCTCAATTTCATTTCAGCGCTGTATTGGGCTGTTTTTTACGTTCATGAACCAAAATAAGGTGTTAAAGTTTGACCTGACACGATTATTCATCTCAGTAGGTAAACGCCAGCTGACACTCAAGTGTGACCTGTTGCCAGGCCCTGATACAAGCCACATTAACCTAAGCGCGAAATGGCTAAAGAACAGTTATAACATTATTGTGGTGAACAAATTAACCACTGTTAAAGCAGTTTAGAGCACATCACTCAGATTCTGGATGGTGCAAGTTAATAGCATATGGCCATGATTTTGTTCCTTCAATGACAAAAATTACAAGATATTAAATTTAATTTTATAAGTTCTTGGACAGGCGATGAATCCTGCAATTGATTGCCATCTCTATTATTTAAAGGAGATGTGCAATTAATGCATGCGGAACTTTAAATTCGCTCAGTATTATGAAGTGGTATTACATTTGTATGAAATACATGGACAAGGTCGTATGATCTGCAGAATGTGGCATTTGACCTAATGATGAGAACAGAGTAAAGTTGAGCATCAACCAAAATCATATTACGGCTTTATCGAGAAGAGAAACCTGCGCTAGTTGTTTCAAAAAATGAGTGATTTACGAATGAATACTTTTACCTTGTCAACAAGCAGTCACAACGGGTCAATGGGCCCCACCTTGGCTCACCAGCCCTCCCACAGTGTATCATCTTTCCATATACTCCTTGCCCACTATGCCTTCGCTGGATCATTTTCACAAGAGGGCCTGATGACGGTTCAGCGTAGAAAGTCGAATTAAAACGTTAAAAATTCATTTGATATAGAATAGTGTACTTTCTTTGGAGACTATACCCATTCCAGTGGATCCTGTAATGAAACAATATCATGTCGAAAGCTTAAGTGTCATATTCAACCAATTCTGTTGTAAAATGTTAGCAAAAAGACTTGCACAATCCTCCGCTGCATTAATTGCTTCTAAAAACAAAACTTGCTTTGAGTTGAAAGAAACATTTGCTTTACTACCCACGAATTGTTGAAGAGCGAACAGGAATGTTCATTAGTACTTCGAGGACTGCTTGAACATTTGCCAAGAATATTTACGCATCGTAATATCAAAGCAAATTGTACAGCCACAGCGAATCGTTAGCCACCAAAATCTTACCGAGGTAGGGAAAAGAATTTGATGGCAAAATATGCAGCTGCCCGAGTCTTGTATGAAGAAAAAATCATAATGCTAGGACCGTATATCTGTTACCAGCTGCGGAAATCTGATAATCGTTTCTGCATTTTTCTAAATATAAAAATGCTCAATAGAGTATTTATGAGGAAGTTTTAGGAAAGTTTTCAACCAAGGCTTAGCCCATAAATCCGGAAATACAAATTCACGTATGCCTACCTAAACATGAAATGCACACTCCGTTTCCGCCGGTTTAACCATTCCAAGGCGGACAAACTGGAGCACTCAAAAACTTATTTCACAGCATTCCACATATTCCTTTCATTTCTTTGCAATTGCTTAACAAACTCAAGGAAGGGATTTACAAATTTGTGCGATTGCTTAAAACACAAACGGGCATCCACAAAATCTCAAATATTGTTAAAATTAATCGTCTCTCTCGTTCGCTGTGGCCTGATTCTTAATTTTGCCGATAACAGACCATCATTGGTAAGCACACATTCTACTGCTTGCAAAAGTACGTTTTTTCTTTGGGTGCGCAAGAAAAACAAATAGTTTTCTTAAAGGGTGGAATTTATTACATTTGGATAGATTTTGGAAAAAAATAAATTAATAGTTTAGAGCTTTCTCACTAACCTCTAGGCTGTGGAGGAATTTTCGTTTACAATAGCACAAACAATATGTCTAGGTGTAAATATTCTTAGCACTGTTACATTTCAATCAACTGGAACAGTAATTTAGTGGATATCTTAACCTTTTAGCTTTATCGGCAACTTCCAGTGAACCCACACGTGTTGATGATTTATTTAAGGCAAATGGTCTTCCCCTGTAAGGCTATTAGGCCTTATTTACCCTTGAAGTTAGAAAGAGCGATATTAAGGCTACGACTTTGGAGTGGATACATGCAACATTTAGCATTTATGCGACTAGAGTTAATCGACGCAGATGTAATTTCTGTCTGTGTTAAATCGTTTCATCACCAAAGCTTTTAATGTCTACCAATCATCAAAGGAAAATTTGCGGACAACAAAAATCAAAGAAGCAATAAAATCTTTTAAACAGGAACAAACAACATAATGTAAAGATCATTTGGCAGATAGGTCTGACAGAGGCTGACTAATCATCTTACTCTAGCAAACCGGTGAAGCAGTGTTTATTATGACTGTCGGGTGAAGTAAAATTAACATATGATGAGTGAAAACAAGTTCTTTTTCAACTTTATTTATTTGCCATCCATCCGATAGTATATAGGCACACTACCGACCCTCACATCACACACATGAAATATTACAAGTGAATTATGATTACCTTATGGTAAGTTGGCTTTAAACACTTGAGGGAGTTTGGACTTGCTCTACCAGAGATGCTTGAGTGTTGTAAAGGCTAATCATCCTATGGGGATTCAGGCAGGTAATTTGTTGGCATCGCAATGACCCAAGGTCAAAGGTGGAACATAAGCTATCAATTTTCCTAGACAGATGATCAACCCTCATGCAATGGAAGGAGTTTTATCTAACTTTCTGAATAACCTGCGAAAACTGTTCAACCATTTGTCGTTGCATTGCCATCACGATAATGGCATCACGTAGAAAGAAAAGAGGGTATTGGTTTGTTGCACCAATTAAAGGGAAAAAGGCGTCGTTTGCCTTTTTTTCTTTGCACAACTCAGAGATTTGTAATAATCTCCGACTTATTCGCTAGGGGGCAGTGTTTATGGAGACCTGAAAAACCGATTGGTATTTACTCAGGACCACTGATAAAGACGTCCTGCTTAAGGGCTTCATTACTTTCTTAGAAGGTCTTGAGAAGGTACAACTTTATGCCATTTTATCGACAGCTACTAATCCTCGATTTCTTGAAGTAACTTAGATCATGAAGAAATTAAACAAGTAACATCTAAATTTATTTAATTATTTCTGCATGACAGGAGTACTATGAACCGCT